ATGAAGATATGAGGAGAATGAATGAAGACAATTTATATATTTGATTGAAAGACTGTTGAATGTGTTGTGTTGGGAGTTGTGATGATTTGGGTGCTATTATGTGTTCTTGAGCTCACTGAAACAGAGTATTATTTGTTTCTGATATAATCGATGGTTGTATCATACGAATTTTTGAGTTCTAACTTGAAATTATAATTTAAAATATAGGGAAACTTTCAGTTGTTCTGATGAGTTATATCTTAACCTTTCTTTTCGATGAATGTTAAAATAAACTTACGAGTTGCTTCTGAATGTATCACATTTTTGCAGTAAGTATTAACAATAGTTATAAGGATCCATCTGCCAACACCCATAATGCAGCTGGAGGTGAAAATCAGTCAGCAAAAGCTTACACCTTCCGTGAGCTTGCCATGGCAACAAAGAATTTCCGCCAAGATCTATTAAGTGAAGGTGGATTTGGCAGAGTATTCAAAGGGACACTTTCACCAAGTGGACAGGTTAAAAGGAAAAGAAATAAGGACACATTTTTTATTTGACAGCCTTTTATTCTGATGTCGTATTTTTTTCCCGAACAGGTTGTTGCTATCAGGCAACTGGACAGGAATGGAATGCAGGCGAGCCAGGATTTTGCAACTGAAGTCTCGAATTTGAGCCTCCTTCAACACCCGAATCTCGTCAAGATACTTGGATACTGTGCTGATGGGGATCAAAGAATCTTGGTGTACGAATACTTGCCATCTGGCGCTTTGATGAACCATCTATTTGGTACTTTCCAACTCGACAAATCTTTCTTTGAATTGCACATTTAATCCCATTTAAAAAATGTTACAAGGTGTCTTTTGCAAAATTGTGGTTTTTCACATTGCCTATTTCTTTATAATTTGTATATACAGACCTTCCAGTGGGGACAAAGCCATTAGATTGGTCTGCAAGAATGAAAATTGCCTTGGGTATTGCCGAAGGACTCGAGTACCTGCACGAGAAGGTTAATCCCCCGATCATATACCGAGATTTGAAATCGTCAAACATCTTAGTGGGGGAGGCCAACGGCCCGAAACTCTCGGAATATGGGCTGGCGAAGCTCGTCCAGACTGGCGGCAGCAAGATGGCGGGCTACGGGTATTCTGCACCGGAATACGAAAGGCAAGGGGAGTTGACGTTGAAATCCGACGTGTATAGTTTTGGGGTGGTCTTGTTAGAGCTCATCACGGGACGTCGAGCAATGGACACCTCACGGCCTGCGGACGAGCAAAATTTAGTTAGTTGGGTAAGTTCATAAATGATGGGTAAAGGCCTCATTCTCAAATTCAAGATTTTCTATTTGAAGCACGCTTTCCTATCAAACCGTTGAATGTTAAACAAATCCCGATTCTAAAAGAGAAAAAATATCTTCATAGAAAGGCCCTGGAAAAACTAAAAATATGAAGGAAGAAGCTGAAAAGCTGACTGACTAGAACTAAAATCTTGATGCTCTTTGCTCTGTTTGACAAAACACTTGACATTCATAAGTTTTCGTCATCTCGGTATTATGTAGAGAGTTTGTGTAAGCTCGTAAATAACCGATTGCTAGCTTTTGAGCTGTGAAAATGAAGTAGTTCATAGCATTTTTCTAATTGCTTCTCGAAAATACCGAGACGTCTCTTGTAACTGGGCCTTGAAATTTCTGTTTCATTTTTTGCATTGCGATCCGAACAGGCCCAGCCCATATTCCGGGACCCATCCAAGTTCCCTGACATGGCTGACCCTCTCCTAAGAAAGCAGTTTCCAGTGACGAGCCTGAACCAGGCGGTGGGTGTAGCCGCCATGTGTCTCCAAGATGAGCCCTCTGCTCGGCCCCTCATCAGCGACATCTCCGCTGCTCTCGGTTTTCTGGCAATGGCCCCACCCGAAGCCCCCATCCCGGCTCGACTCGTTCCCATTCTCTCCTCGCGAGTCGAAACCTCCAAATACACCTCCTTCAGAGACTCCTCCTCCTCCTTCTCCTCCCCCGACACCGATAATGTCAAAAACTATAACAAAAATATGGATAAAAGCAGAAAACACGAGCGTAAATCGAGCTCCGACTTCGACTACGGCACCAATGATGATTCGGACAGCTCGGATGACGAGAAGAGGACGAAAATGCGCGAGTCGAGCAAGAGCAAGAAGAAAAAGTCGGGGAAAACGAGCCGTTCGAGCTCGAAAAGCAGCAGCAGCAGCCTCAGCTCGAGGAGCTCAAGGGATTACAGCATCGGCTTCAGCCTGAGGTGTGATAGCGCGTTTCCAGAGAGGAGTGATTCTTCTGCTATTGTCGAGCATGATGAGTATAGTTCGTCTAGTAGTGATGATGAAGGTGAAATGGTCCGTTTGAACTCCAGAGGCTCCGATAGGCACGGGATTGAGTTTGAAGAAGACGAAAGCTAATTTGTGCTGGTAAATGAGATTTGGCATGACATTTGTTTATAACTTTTTTTTAAAAAAAAAAAAATATGAGGACTGAGTAATTGAGTATATATACATGGAGGAAGAGATGAATCTGTTGGGAGTGAACTTTTTTCCATGTTCATTAATGTTTTGTTTTCTGAAAACATTTTCTCTTTAATTTAGCTTTTAGCTCCTGTTCTTTATTTATTCATTTATTTATTTATTTTGCCCTCTTTAACTGTGGTTATAAATATCTATTAAACAGCTTTGATTGTTACATATATGTTCAAGTGAAAATTGTAAAGACATGCATTGTTGTTTCTTCAAATTTGTTAGTTTTATAAAGCGTTTTCGAAACCTTTTTGTATATCGTTAAATTTTACTCTTTTTGCTCTTTGTTGTTATACTGATATACAGTGTGTTTATATAGTCAGGCCTAAATAGTAACAAATATTGAAAACTAAAGGTAAAATAAAATCCAACCAGATAAAGAAATTGAACTCTGCAGAGCAAAATGGAGTTAAAACAAACACTAAAAAAAGTCTTACATAAATATGAAAGTTCAATAGCCAACTGGGAACCATTTTTTTAGCTGAAAATACTTGAAAACAATGACAAATTGTAGATATGAATTCATGTCCACGTCTTGTAGGAGTCCCTGACGACTCAGTCGTTTGATTTCCCTGAAAATTTTGCATCATAATAATGTTTGAAAGGTGCTACTGTACAGTAACAAATTAAAATAATGCATTATGCAAATAAAAAAACTGGAATAAATTAATTAAGAAACTAATGAAGTTACAAATATTATTCTTGCAAAAACTTCAGTTATCTTTTGAAATTACTATATCAATAAGAATTGAATCTCTTCGTGTTTTATTCACTTGAATGAATGGCAGATCATATACACGTGTAATTAATTTGTCCAAAAGAATTAAATACAAAATGGAACGTCAATTTGGAACAGGAAATCTCGACCGCTTTTTAATCATGTATAATTAATGCACAATTATACATACGTATACACATTTAAAATTATATATATAATTACCATTTCCATTGGCTGCGTTGAAAATACGGAGATGAGGATCCACAGGAAGACCAATGGCTTGGTACCTCTCATCATACAATGTGTACCTACACATATATGTATAATCACAATTCTAATTTCAAGAAGTATATATATTTGAGAATTAATTACGATATAAATAAACACAAATGTGACAAATTAATAATAATAATGCATATTGTACCCATGCCCAGAACTAGCAAGATTGCTTGAGCTAAACCCTGGATCACCTCGAACAAAAGAACTCCAGCCTCTAGAATTAGGAGTAATTATTTCATCTTGGAACAATATATTTCTCTGCATTAAAATTGATGATATAAAATTATATTATTATACTGGCCCATAAATGAATTAGATTTTGGAATTCATACAATTATATTGGTCACTTTTATTTATTTAAATTTATTTACGTAGAAATATATGCATGCACACACCTCGGGTCCGGATAGTTGACCATAGTTTGAGCTATAGTTACCAATAGCCAGAGTTGGCCCACTAAGCAAATCGGCTGAATTTCGTATACCTTGAATTCCCATTGATCTTGAAAATGGCAAAAATATATATTTAATAAGGTAATAACTTATTTTTTTTTAGAAAAACAATTTTCCTAAAAAAGATTATGTGAATTTAAAATTATATTTAATAAGGTAAATAACTTATTTTCTTTTAGAAAACAATTATCCTGAAAAAAATTATATTTTATAAATTCACCTTAAGTTAGGAGTAGAATTTTCAAGCATCATGGCTGAATACCCCTCATCTTGTGAGCTGAGATTTGAGCTTGCAAACTGCCACATAATGATCAAGACAAGGGTGTTAGGAAATGTCTAATTCCCTATATAATTAATTGTTTGTAATTATATTAGCTATTCAATTATTTTATATTTATTTAAGCTAAATATTGTAAAAATCTATAAATATGAACTAATTAATGAGTAGATACGTAATAATACTTTATTTAAATAATTAATAGTACTAAATTGTAAAAAATATTATTCTGAAAAATGAAAATGAAAACCATAAGAATTTTAATTAAGTTGATAAATGAAAACACAAAAGTGAATAGGATGGAACTTGTTAATTTGGCAATGTAAGTATATACATACATAATTTTATTTAAATTCAACTGTTAGAACTTTAAAAACAATATAAATAAATATATATTATTAGAATATTCCATCTAATATTTAAAACGATTCATATAAGAATTTGATTTCAATATTTATAAAACAAATACCGGAGCTCTTGAAAGCAAAAGTCCCATTTGTGATGCTTGCATGTTCTGTAAGAATGCAAGATGCGACGGCTGAAAGTCCCCTGCCTCTCCCATTCTACAATATAATATTATCATAGTCCAACACTTAACAAGTAATTGACAAATTTAATTATACAAAATAATAAATAAATTCTGATATATATTTTACCAAAACATTTCCAACAAATATGAATTATCATAAACTAATCACAATCTAATTAACATGAGCCTGAATATTTGTGGTCTGCAATAGTATTACAAATTCAGCAAATAAATTACTAATTAATGTACCTAAATTGTCTTTTCCCATCTTGTTGGGGAGTGATTAATGGCATCATCGTTGGATTAAACTCGTGATTTAGGAGTGAAGAGTTTCTTGGTGATCCTTCTTCCATTTGCTCGACTTACAAATCGATAAATTCCTAATTAATTAAAAACTCATCGAACAATTTAATTTCGTTTATCCATAGAGAATTAGTGCGTTTATGAATCTGAAATGACATAAATATTGCAATTTATCTCGTGAAATGAGAATTAAATTTACTGATCTAGCCCGTTATTATTCATGTGTGTGCAGCTTTGATTTCCATATATTAGTCAAAGGTGTTATCTTATTAAAAATAATTATATACTTGAAAAATTACCATTAGAATGAGTAGTGATTATGAAATGCGTGAGATAAAAAATGAATTAAGCTTCCTAGCTAACATATCCCTCTTTTCTTAAATACTGAATTAATCAATGCCATAACAAAGAGGATGAAATGAAGATCTACAATAACAAAATGATTAATTTTAACTGTGTGAAGAGTACTGATCCACACCTGGAATTGTTGCCCGTTGCTCCACAAGTCTTGAAAACTGCAAACAAAACTAAAAACAATTAGGAATTGTCTTACAAAAACTATAAAAGAGAGAGGACGAAAAAAATGATTACTTTGGCAAAAGACACCTCACGGAATAATTTTGCACCTCCTAAAATTAGTTTATAAAGCAGACTATAACAACGGTATAAATATTTGAAACAATTGGCAATTATTGTTATCTTTGTTTTGCTATGTATTGACGTGATCTGCGTTGTAATATAAGTATCGGGGCATAAATATGAAATTATTAACTACATATATTGCATACCTAAACTGCAATGGCAAAACTATTAATAGCCACAGCCAACAACTTACCTTATGCATTTGAGGTGAATTAACTATATCACTTTCACCAAACAACTATTGTATGGCACGGTTTATCGAGACATCAACAATTATCCATAAATTATATATTGACACGCATTCTAAAATAAATACATTTAGGACATATGTCGATATATTAATTCACGGATGACTCCATAAAAAAGCCTTACGCGGGCCACATATATATGATTTCAATTAAACATACGATTTTGATATAGATCCATAGGATGATATGACAGGTCTCATCGAGCCCTTAACAGTTTTTCACAAATAGTGTTATGAAACATATCATAAAACAAATATATTTTAAACATGTGTTAATAAATTAAATTACTTCATGGATGACAGGATACATTTAAAAGGTATTATAGGTAAATTAACATGTTTGCGTTATTTGTTACTCACTTCAATCACCCAACAAATTAGAAGTCTTGATANCAAACGGCAATTATATTAATAACTAAAAAACTCAACATAGTACAACCGAAGTGTCAAATGACACACTGGAACCAGAAGACTGGACCAACCCCCTTGTCATCACACGCAAAGGGTACAAACTCCATCAAGGAGACAAACAAACTACAAAACAACACTCCAAAAAGCAGACACAGCTGCACTAAAAGCAGACGAAGCTGCACTGAAAGCAGACGAAGCTGCACTGAAAGCAGACGAAGCTGCACTAACAAACCAACAAAAACAAAAAGGAAACAAAAACATAAATGAAAGAAAAACAACACACCTAAAAACATATACTAATGATAAAACCTCCCCCTAATCCAAGCAGTTGACCTCCATAACCAACCAAACTGGCAACCGAGTCCCAAATCGCAACAACGAAACCAACAAAGCTACAGATCAAAACCCCAAACCCGAAAACTGCGGCTGAACACGACCCGCCTAGACAGATCTGGCTAGAAGTCTGTTCTTAGTCCGAATCTGAACTCCGTTGGACTTCATCACCGGGAAAGAGAGGAGGAGCCGCCACGAAACAAACCAGTGTCTCGGAGACATGACCCACAGAGGCTCCGCCCAAGTAGTCCCACAGTCTCGCGATCCGGCAGCCCCGCAAGCCGGCAAATGGGCGGATCGACGGGCCACCCGAGACTGAAGACCGACAGGCATAACCCTCCATAGATCGGAACTGAGACGCAGGAGACCATATCCACCGGCTTTTCAGCGAACACCCACGACAGGATTCGAGAACCACAACGGACGGCGACCCCCTCCGAAGTCAAGGAAATTGACGGAGCGGCAAGACTCGCCGCTCGCCAAAACACCCGTCAGACTCGAAGGGGGCAGAAAAGAGAATCCTGACCGTGACACGGCCAAGGCCTGCTTGCTGGTTGCGGAGGATCGCCGGAAGGAAAAGGAGGGGGCGGCGGCGTCAATTAGGTTTTAACTTTTAGGAAAAAAGGGGCTTTTTGAGAGAGAGCGATACCTATTTTCACTTTTAGTGAAATAAGTATCTTTTATAGCACGTTTTTATT